TCGCGATCCATCCCTCGTTTTGAGTTTCTTAATAGTTGGACCACTTTTCTGTCATTTCTTTGCCTATCATGGATATGCACACGGAAGTCAGTGACGTTAATTTGGTCGGTGCCAGGGAGTTGAAGAATTTTCAGCCTACATGAAGTGAGACGTCGACTCGTCGCATGCCATGCCAAGAAGATAGCAGAGTTCCCGGTTTCATTCGAAAGGTGATAGATATCTCACGAATAATCTCGTCCCACCGAATACGGTTTTATTTCATACCAACGAATTCCAATGTCGGGATGATTTGGAGGCTACTGTTATGCATTTTTTTCTAGGGTTATCCTTACGCTTGGTGTTACCTGCGAGTCAAAGTCCGGTTAACATAATGCTTTGTTCGCCACAGAGCAACATGACCTGTCATTGAAGACTGCCACATGGCATGATATGAAGTAGCATACCACGTGATAGTGGCGAAGAGTTAATCGACCCTCTACGATTTCGTCAATGTTTAGTTTATATTTACCTGGTCGTCAAACACTTGTCTGTCATGTAAAGAAACGCAGGAAATTCGCTAGGTTACGCTACTGGAGCCATTTCTGTGCTGTTAAATCACTTTAAGCTATTGGTATATTCTTACAGAAAAAGATACTGAGCTGCTCCCCCTAGTCAAAGATGATTGTTCTAAACAAAGGCCATCTCTAATTTGGTGAAATATGCGCTGGTATGCGCTGGCCGTGAGCTGCGCGTGTACCGTCTTGACGGACATATGCGTTGATGCGCTCCCATGTCAGGCCGGTCTTGGCTGTGAGTCATACGCTGATGAGAGAGAGGTCGGCGGTGGTGCGTAAGCGCTCATCTCCGTGTTATGACGGGCCTATTCCTGGCATTACCACGCTGGCCGCAACCCCATCAATGGGCGCGGCCGCTGAGCTGCGGCGCGTTGGCCGCCAGTGTCGGCCGGCTGAGCGGCCGGCCACCTCGTGACGGGTTGGTCAGGGCTGCCGGTCGCCCGCGCGCGACCCGACCTTGCTGCCGTCTGACACCGCCCGCGGTCGCTTCTTAAATGGTCAGCTAACATATGTGTGGGGTATTGAACTGAGTTAGCGATTTTCAAGGTCTTTCCGTGTAGTTCAAAGCTATGCACTTGTTAAAAACTTTGAATCCTCTCATTTCTAAGTTAGACGCACGCCAACTTGTGCACACTATTCCGTGCCGCCTGCTTTGAAATCACTCAAGCGTATGGCGTAAAATAAACGTGATGCGAATTCCACCTCCTCAATAGCCATACTGTGTTCAATGTCAGTACAAAGATGACCATTGACTTATTCGAATCAGGAGTACGTCATCACAAATCGTCGCACCAACGAGCAGCAGCTGGCTTTCAACCAACTTAACGCCTTAAATGCAAGTTCCAAACACAAAGCACGTTTTGTGACAATGGCACAGCAATTTGGGCAGTGTTTCTAGTTATGACGGCAATGAAGCTGAACATAAAATAACTTAACAATAGCGCCGCAATCGAGGATGCGAATCCAAGCATAACACAAAAAAGTAGGAAGGAATATGCAAGAACACGAAAAACAGCCAAAACACGCACACAGAGCGATATTCGGTTCAGTACACACGCATCAGCAAAGTCAGCCGTCCACTACCGTGGCAATTCTGACACAGCAAATCTGGCAGCGACTCTGACGTCATATAAACGCTCTGTGACGCAATCAAACGATACTTTTGAGGGGTGCATTTTGTTAATAGTGAAACTATGCAGATACTTGTAGTAAACGAATAATGAAACCAGCGCGTACTGGTATCAAGCTGTGTTTTGCACTTGAAGTGAGTTAGTATGGGGTTTTAAACTGAAATAGCTATCTTGAAGACCGTTGGGTGCAGTTCACAGTTCTGCCGTTCTGAAGAACTAAACCCCTTTGGTTTCTGACCTATACGCCGGCGAAGATGTGCAGACTTTCGGGAGGACTATTTCAAGGTCACCCAGGCACCCACGACGTCATTATAACGTCACTCAAATTTTGCCACTCCAGTAGCCATGCGGCGACCAAGGCTAAGGAAAATGTAATTGTCGAGTCGTTCACATCTGGCGTTCGGTAGCACAATTTACAGATGTAACGGCCGTCAATTGGCATTCAATCAATGTTGTGCGTGGGACGATGACGTTATCAAATAATCACGTATTGAGGAGCATATTTACTGAACAGAGAAATTATGTTCTCTGGAGAAGTCTTCCAGTAAAGAATCCAGCAGTTATAAGTGAGCTTATTTCAGCATATCTGGTATTTCAATGTCTTAAGTGTAAATATTCCCCTTAAAATCATGCCAGAAGTTCCAGAGAGCTTTTTCCGTCATATCTGACGCTTCCCTCAATATCTTCGAGCGTGGAATATTCCCGTTAACCACGCTCAGACCTCCTCCCTCGGGCGGAACGCGTTGTGGCGCCCTCCCAACGCACCAGACTGTCGACAGCGCACGATCCAGAGGTGGGTTGTCGCCTCCGAATGGAAGATGTTACGATGCAAAGTTGAACTATAACATATTTGTACTCTGAAGCAGTCGGGTCCAGGCATATCGTTACCGTGACAGTACTTAGCCCTGGTATGTCACTGCTGCAACTACCTGCATCTGGTACGTCGCTCTTGTGACCATGCTAAATGACTGCGCGCCTCCGATGTGACGCTACCCATGCACCGCATACTGCTGCTGTCATTGAAGAGGTGTACCGTGCTCTTTGACATGGGATTCGCCACGGAAAAGAATAGGAGATGGTGGGGGGCAACTTGTTCATAATGCCTCCATAGTGGGACCCCATTAGATTACCTGGGAAGTGGTAGGGGAGGGTGATTGCCATGATAGCGGTGACGAGCTTGAAGTGAGCTGAATAGAAACGGACCTAATTATTAAACAAACTGTGAAACTATCGGCTAAATCGTGTATAAGCCATTATATGTATTTCACTCCTGCTGACATTAAAATCCAGCACTTTTGTAACATATCAAAGGGAGTATGCTATCGTTTTGTATTTTTCATTTAAAATCAGATCAGATGTGTCCGATTTCGTCGACATTGCCAATTTTTTTTCAAAGAACGTTCTGTGTAGCCCGGTATTTTGATTCGAAGAAGCTGCTTCGACGGGAGAAATGCCATTGGGTTTCATGCTACTAAGTCTGAGTCATGCTTTTAATTTGCTTTGGTTTCTCCAATATGCGTGTATGTGATGTTCGCAAGGCAGCAAGTGGCCAGAATGCTTCTGCAATAAGGGTATGAGGCTTGCAGCACTCTGCTTAGAGAAGAGTTACACGTATGTGACGACGTTATCACGCGAATTCAACGCAGCGTCTCACTGTGACACTGATTTCTCTCCCATGGCGTCTAGCGCAGCTTTTTCTTTCGAAGATCACTTCAGCTTTGGCAAACATTGCGCACTGTTATGGCCTGTTCGTTACGAGGATGTGTTAACAAAGCAGATCGGCTTATTACGTTGTCTTAGTGACACAGCCTTTGCTTACGCAACTTTCACCAATGCGCGTCACGCTAAATGCCTTAGGCCGCCCGCTGTGCCAACCTGAAACGTTCATTGCTATTGACGTCATTCGTTACCAGAAACTGCGGCGTGCATTTTGACCACCACAGTTATGGTGGACGAACAGCCTGGTTCTTGACATGACATTTCGCTGCTGATTTCCTTCTGACGGTACATGGCCGGTCCGTGGCTCTTAGCAGATGTTACCACCTTCGAAGGTACTGGGAACAAAGGGTTTTAATCCTTAATTCGAAGCATTGCAGGTTTTCGGCCACCATCTGATTGAATTCTTTCTGACGTGTATTGCCGTATCCGTGTGGTCGTCGCGCCTGATTGCATGCAGACGCCTCCGTGTCTGTCCCCATGTCCGTTTGGTTACTGCGTACAATTGCTCATCTCCGCGTCTGTGAGGTCGTCCCACGTGATGGCACATCCCCGTGTCCATGTGATGGTCCCACAGGACTCCATGTCATGTGTTCGTGAGATGGCCCGCACAGCTGCATCCCCGCGTATGCGTGACCGTCCCGCGCCACGACAGATCCCGCCTGCGTCTCGAGTGGCCGCCGCAGCGCCGGTGTCTCGCTGGTGATCCTGTGCCGTGGGCCAGTGGACGTGGTATCCGGGAGACCGCCGCTGCCCCAGCACGCCCCCACCCCCACCGCCGCCTGCCTGCCCTCAGCCCCCGTGTGCCGCTGGACAGATGAGGCTATTCGTTCGCCTGACCTATTGGCCGGTCGCAGCGCGCCTTCTAAGAACAACAGGACGCGCCGGGGTGGGCGGCACGGCAGCGGCGCTGGACTGGGCTGTAGGTGGCGAGTTGGGGCGGGGCCGTCGCTTCAGGTCTGGGGTCGGTGTGCCAGGTTTGAAAAGTTGGGTCAGAGCTTGAGCCGCGGACTGAGGCCGGATGCGGGACCAGACGGAGACCAGGGACCGAGGCAGGACTTCGGAGAAGAGACGGTGTCCGGCCACCAGGAGTGAAGCCAGCGTGCTGATAGCAGCCGGGTGTATGGACCGGGGCCGGACTCCGGAGTGGAGACGGTGTCTGGCCAGCAGGAGTGACGCCAGCGTGCTGATAGCAGCCGGGTCTATGGACCGGGGCCCGACTCCGGAGAAGAGACGGTGTCCGGCCAGTAGGAGTGACCGTCAGCATTCTAATGGTAGCCGGGTCTAGTCAAGCTTTCCTGGTCTCCCGTCGCGGTCTCAGAGCCGTCAGACATTAACTTGTGTAATGGGTGAAGTGATGGTGTCAAAATGAAATGGCTACGGGCGCCATTTTCAGTTTGAACACGACGACTTCGGTAACGTGTCGATCTGTGACTTGCATAAGACATGCGTTGAAAGTGGCCTGACGGTGGTGAGCGTGACAGTGGCAATTGTGACCTGCCGCGGAGCTGCAACCGGCCGTACAAGGTCTGATGTTAATGACTGCGTGTCACAGCCATGTCCTGTTGCGAAGTCTCATGGTGATCACTGTGCTTCTCAGAACGGCAACCTCTCGGGCAGTGATCTACACGAGGCAAATCTGCGCGGCGCCAACCTCACCAACACCGTCTTCGAGCTGATGCTGACGCCCATCCACATGTCACAGACGGTGCGGTAGACCGCCCAGCGTGGGCTCAGATGCGCTGCCGCTCTGGCTCGGTATGGGAGCCGGCACGGGCCCGCATGTGGCGTCCGTTAGGCTCCGTCCCGTGCGTGGTCGGTTGGGGTCCGGCCTGCAAAGACAGTAGGCCAGGCTTGCACCATCCAGCGGCTCAGATAGAGCGCCTCGGTTGCGGGCGTGGTGCGGATCCGTCGGGGTCCCGCTGTTCTCGGCACGCGTCGCCGACGGGCGCTTTTTCTGCGTCGTCGACGGTGTGCGCCTGCCGCCTTCTGCCGGTCGCTGGATTCGGCCATTTGTTGCGAGCGCCCGTCGCGGTCGTGGAGAGCCATTCCCTGATGGTGGGCGCGGCTGGCTGCCTACGACGCCGGACGCCTCGCGCTGCTGCCAGGGCGTTAGTGTTTGTCACTCGGTGTGGGCGGTGAGAGGCCGCGGGGCATTTGGGCAAGTGCTTTCCCGCAAGGCAGGGCGTACACGATGTGGTGGAAATGGACAGGGTTTGTCGGATGTGAGCATCGCATGCTATCCGCAGGTTCACCCTGTGGTATGTGGTGTCATTTGCTGTTGTTTGTCGGCGTCAGCCAACCTCAGTGCAATAAACCACGACGATGTTTTTGAACCTTGTTCCTGGAAATGGCATGGAGCCATGAATTACATGTTCAGCGGAGCTTGAAATTAGTGTTTAATCCCTTTTCGGCACTTCCAATTGGATATCTTCTCAAGATCCGGCTTGTGAATAGGGAAATTTAATTAACGCACGCTGCTCCATCCTGCAATCCGCACTTGTTGTCAGGCCCGTCGTCTGGCGAGAGACGCAGTCAATAGGCCTGCTCAGATTAACGTTGATGAAACACCTTCAAGATCCCAATGGTTTTTCAGAATCCAGTAAGAGGATGTGGGACAGGACATGGCTCAAGGCTCCAGCGCCAGTCAACGAGATATTGCCGTCGCCTGTCCGGAGGGCTGCTGGTTAGGCGTCTTCTTATTTTGCAATTAAAATTAATTTAATTTGTGCATACGTGATCCATTTGATAGCCACAAAAGCAGTTGCGTAATTGAAGGTTGAGATTGATTGAAACGTTTTTAGAGCTATGCCAGCATATTTATACCGTTACCTTTGTAAACTATTTACATGCAACATGTAAGTCCTCCAACCACCACATAGACATTATGTTCTGAGGAAAATCGGCAAGCTTTATGAGGCCACCAAATGCATTTAGGACGGTTGGGGCCTGACTAGAGTGTCGGTTTAATGGCGATGGCCTCTTCGGTGGACCTCAGCTACGCAAGCAAACCAGAAACCATGCGTTGTTGGATCCACCAAAGTTCTTAAACTTGTCACCATGCCTCCTATTTGCTATAATTTCGACAGCATGACTTCAAGTCATGACAGGTCTGTCGTCTCCAGCCCTGTGACAGTGATGCGTTGCCGACTTGGGGGTGGTGTAGCACTGCTAGAAGGGCGTGTTATTGACGACCTGCACCGAATCCCGGATGGCATTCAAATCTGGCGCCCTGCCAAAATGTCATCACGCCCGCCGATGTCGGCATGAGGTACCGTAGCTAAAGCGACCTGCCGCGTGAAATGAGTTTTAATTATAAAAATAGTTGACTTGTGTTAAGCTCCATAAATTGTTTCATAAACCACTTCAACTCAGCAAAATATTTCATAGAACACGTTAACTCCATATCATATATCATATTGTGGAAGTGCATTTCCGTGGCACATGGTTATGCAATGAATAAATGGTTCTGCAATGCTAGTTAAAAGACCATGGGATGAATGGACCATTCCTATGGATTTGTCGGAAGTGCAACGAATGTCCGACGATTCAGATGACGTGCCGCATGGGCGGCAACCTAGAAACTGCCGGTGGCGATCATATAGCTTATCAGAGATGATCAGCTGGTAACTGGCCATGGGATGTTCACACTGTTTCGGCGGTGGGGGGTAGGCTGTGTCATGACATCGCGTGTAGAATGTTAAAATGTGCCCTCTAAAATGATAGGTTGTTATGAGATCGGTGTGCTTGAGTGTTGGTGCCAGGTCATTCGCGACGCGCTATGCTTAGCGAAAGATTCTGAGCACGGCCTCGCAAACCGTTGGTGAAATCCTTCTAAAACGGCGTCAAATCGAAGCATTTTTCCCGGATACCTGATGCATGTTTCGGCACGCACATACAGACAGTACAAGTTGACGCGCAGACCAATACTAGTCTGATTAGATCCCCAGCACCGCTCCGAGGGAGCATCCTATGATGGCAAGGCATGTCTACATGGACGCCTGTCCTGACCCCTGTGAGGCACGGCTCGTGGCAGCAACACGCACTCGTGTTGGGGCTCAATTCGACTACCCCCCCCCCCCCTCTCCCGAAAGTTTTTCCAGAACGATTTCCGAGCGGCGCGGTGTAGCTTTGTCAAACTTTATAGCTGTAGGGAATTAGATAGCGGATCTTTTGGTACGTAAAATGTACCTTGTGAGACCGCTGACCTATGGTAGCTCAAAGTCAGCCCGTGGCTGTTAGCGAAGATCATTTCTAGGGAATCGTTCGGTCTGATGCGACAACGGGGTGTTAGATAGAGCCAACCATCTCTGAGGTGGTCCCTTAGGCAATGCAACCATTTAATTAAGAATTGCAGCAAATTCTATTAACCTGCGGTCAGGTATGAAGGTCAGGCCGAAGTCACAACCAACCTGCCTTTTTACTTGTGTTTGAATCACGATCCGGATGCTAAATACGCAACAACACCCAGCACCTGCGCAGGACAGATTTAACCCCCGACCTCAACCGGCCGTCCCTACCTCTAGTCTGCGGCCGCTCCGGTCCGCACACGCGACCTCGGCCAGGTCACGTGGACAATGGCCCGGAAGCTTAAACACAGCCGGCCGCGCCGGTTAACCGCTGACCAGGCCGCGCCCGCGTGGCCGCACGACACATTGCCCGGGAGCTTGCTTTATGTGTTAGTTTCTGGTGCTCATTCCGAATCTGTTAATAACAGAGACCGCAACAGACGCGTTCCACAGACTTATTGAAGGTCATAGTTGGCCAATGACTTAAATTGGCCCAGGCCAACATTTGGTTTTAGGAACATACCACCCAGTCCCCAACGCTTATTCAAAAAGCAAAGTAGAGACATTCTCCTAGATTCCTGGTCACCTCGGTCCTTTCTAGGCGAAAAGGTCTTTGACCTTAAATTAAAACCAGTGCATTTTGCTTGGAAAAACTTTCTAGGTTCAAGGCAGTTGAACGGAAAGATCTGGAGGCACTTTTGTCGCCTATGTGGAGTTTGATCTTGTTTGCCCTTATCTCACCCCAATTTAATATTCCAGTAAGCTCAAATTTTGACACATATGAGTTTTGGTGCAGGCCAAACCAACCTGTGAAGCTGGTACTTCCAGCTCTCTTCATTTTTTAGATATCAGGGGCTCAAATTGACCTCTCATCTGAGCGAAAGGTATTCAACTGGCCACCCTGGCGCGCGTTAACGACCGGCAGAATTGCATTTGAGAAGCAAGGATGTCAATCGGCAGTGAGACGGAGACAAACCAAGCAAGCGTCTCCATGCAAAGACAAAACCAAGCTCGAATTATCGCGATTAAACGATTTTCGCCGTTGGGAAACAACATGCGTGTTTAACGTTTCCATTCGCTCGCTAGCATTAAGCATTCGCTTCGGCGCCGATCTGCGCCCCAACTTTCCAATTCCTCCGCGTGGGTCGGCTGTAAGCTGCCAGATGTGCCACGTTCCGCACGGTCAAGGGAGGTGACCCACGGCGCCGCACGGTCAAGGTGAGGTGACCCACGGCACCGCATGGTCAAGGGAGGCGACCCGCGACACCGCACGGTCAAGGTGAGGTGACCCACGGCACCGTACGGTCAAGGAAGGTAACCCACTGCACCGCACGGTCAAGGGAGGCGACCCACGGCGCCGCACGGTCAAGGTGAGGTGACCCACGGCACCGCACGGTCAAGGGAGGCGACCCACGCCACCGCACCCTCAAGGGAGCCGACCCACGGCGCGGCAAGATCAAGGGGACGAACGAGGCGTTGACGAGGCATCGAGGTATCTGTCGCCCGCAGTTGACGGGGGTGGGATGCATAGCTGGTGGGATTCATTCAAACAGGATGGCACTCACCGAGCCTCATTGCTCAACTGGATGTGCCAACAAGCATATTCGAAGTATGAACATACGAAGACAAACAAAACTCTGCTTTTATGCTTGGTTTGACGTTAAATGGCATGGACATTCATTTATTTGGTATTGTATGGTGATTTTAATAGGGCATCAGTCACGGTGGGTTACGTGATGTGAGGTCGGGTCATTTCGACTAAATTATGTTGCATGAAATATCTTGTCTTATGGGCATCTTTTTTGCTACCCTTGTGAGTCCAGAAATGATTTATCATAGGCCATAAGCCTGCGCATTAAGATGTGGTCCATTGAAGACCGCTCGCTGCGTACATATCAATATCTCCGCGGCAATATTTCTCAGAGTGGGTTTGATCGAACGAATCGAATCGAAGGGAGGGGAATATGGACTCTTCGAAGCTCCCAATAGCCAAGTTCTGTCGGTATATGTTCCATAGACGTGGAATAGTAGGCATTTTACTGGTGAATATGTCAACAAATCTGGCCTAGCTGACCGGTGATCAAGCTCATCCGAGTGCCGGGACCAATTCCAAGCATGGTGCGATTGTTCATAAGCTACATATTACTGGTGGCTGTCGACACAATATGAGGGGCTCATTCACTGAATGAGCAAAATCGGAAGATCGAAACAGCACTATAGTTCGCTGGACCCGGTGGTAAAGGATGCTGATCCGACTTAGATCGACTGGCAGTTAAGTACTGCTGGTCTCATTACGTCCGGCAAGCTGTGAGGGCTTCCTTGGCCGACGAGGTCCGGCAAGTTACAATGGGCTGTTCGGCCGACCAAGCACGACTCGTGGAGGGCAGCTGGACCGGCCAGGTGCCACATGCTGCTACCAAGGGCTACTTGCTACAAGGCCCAAGGCCTACCTGTTCCTACATGGTCTACATTTTACTACAAGGGCTACTGAACCAACTGAGCACGACATGTGTACGACACGACACGGACACGACACGACTAGTAAAGTGTTGCTGAGCTGAGTAGGTACGACACATTGTGCATGGGTGTTTAACCGACTAGGTACGACACGTTTTTCATGGGTGCTGAACTGACCCGGCACGACACGTTGTGACGGGGTGCGGAACCGACTCGGTGCAAGACGTTGTGCAGGGTTGCTGGTCCGACTAGGCACGACACGCGACGGAGTGCCGAACCGATTAGGCACGACACTGTCGATAATTGGGATACGGTGCTGAACTGATTAGATAGAACACGTAGAATCCTGATGACGCGACAGGGTTCGATACGCTGCCCGGCCATGTCAACGACTTTAAATATCTGGTAAAATAAAACCGGGGGTTCTGTTAGAATGTACGAACCTGCGTAGGCGTGCGATCAGCGCCCCGCTGGCTTACCCCACGGTAACGAGCGTTTTAGTATCCTGCGTGTGATGCACAACACGACCATGGGACATCTATGCACACTCACGACCCGTACCTTGGCTCACCGTTACCTCCTGCATGCACAGTTCGTCACCAGCCAGCCACCCCCCTCCCCCTCGATCGCAACGCGCCGCATCTGACGCTCGATCGCCGCTGAACCTCCCTCGTTTGGTGGCAACTGGAGCAGCCGCGCCGAGCTTTAGCGATATTACGGCCGTGGAACCGCTCCGACCAGGCTCAAACACGCTCCCGAGATTATTTTTAAAAATCTGATCAGGCCAATGCGGCCGCACGGTGTTGAGAGAGCAGCCAGCGGCGGACCTGTGGGCGTGGTTGGTCCGTGGCCGGCACGTAGGGTGGCTATCCGGCCGTTACGTACGGTGGCTATCCAACCGGCACGTGCAGGCGGTGGCTCTCCAGCCGGCGCGTACGATGGCTATCCAACCGGCGCGTGCGGTGGCTATCCAGCCGGCACGTACGGTGGCTATCCAACCTGCGCGTGCGGTGGCTATCCAGCCGGCACGTAGGGTGGCTATCCACCCGGCACGCGTTAACTGCTCCCAGCGGTGTCTTACCTTCCTTGGGGCAGGATATTTCTTCACCGAATGACGTAGGCGGGATCGGATTTGAGAGGCCTAAGCTGTGCGAGAAGTGGCCTTAAGTCCTGGAGAAGCAAAATTATTACACAGATAGAGGCATTTCACAGAAATTCACGAAACATGGTCAGAGGAATTCACGTTTTTGGGGGGAGGAATTCTTGACACTTGCAGGGTGCTAAATATCTGCTAACTTGTATATAGGCAAGGTAAGACCACATTTATTAACTTTTCCAGGATGTACACCTACTTCATACGCGTAATTGCGTAGTGTGCCATTTAGCTGTCAGCGGGTTTAGTGTTAACTGTCAATGTTGTGGAACTGAAAATATGAAGTGGTTTGGATATATATATATATATATATATATATATATATATATATATATATGCATATATATATATATATAAATTTGCAAAACCGTCTAACGCATGCTTTTGTTTAGGCCTGGTGGACGGTAGACTTAAGAGGTGGTGGACCAGCGCGCGTAACCTGACCCAGTACAGCGTGACTTTATTTCTGATTTTCTGCGGTCTCTACCAGATTCCCACCATCGGACATAGCGGCAAGCGAGATTGGCTGAACAGCTAGCAAAGTTTTGCTCAGCAACGATTCAGTTAATAGAAGTGCATGCAAATATTTGCAAATCACCACGCGCACACACACACACACACACACACACACACACACACACACACACACACACACACACACACACACACACACACACACACACACACACACACACACACACACCACACACACACACACACACACACACACACACACACACACACACACACACACACACACACACACACACACACACACACACACACACACACACACACGCACGCACGCACGCACGCACGCACGCACGCACGCACGCACGCACGCACGCACGCACGCACGCACGCACACACACACACACACACACACACACAAACGGATTAACACCGCTGGCTCCCGGATAAAGCCCAGTTTGTGGTCTCGTTAGTGGCTCTCAGGCGTTTCCAATGCATTCCGAGTAGCACCACATTTGCTGTGCACTCGAACTTGAAATTGTCCCGGGCTCGCCCACAGCTAACTGAAGCGTCAGCGCGAGCCGTCGGCCGGGACCGAGATCAGCCACGCAGCCCGGCAGTGCAGTCGAAGCCGGAGGCACTCAGGAACGCTCCCCTTGAGACCGCGCCCAGCGCGCCGTACGATTACACTCCAATCTGTCGGCCGGTGGCGGCAGCCGGCCGCCACCGCCGCCGTCAACAGGGCGCCACTTCGCGACGGGGGATCTCGGCCGGCCTGCCGCCACCGCGTCTTGAAAGGCGTGCGCGCGGCCCGCTGTTGCGGGCGTGGCGACCGGAGATAGCCGGTCTGACGGGCAAACAAGAGCGATGTGAGCCGTGTGTGCGGCTGGGCGGCCGCGATAGCCGGCCTCCGCAGCCGTTCAGTCTGATGACCAGGCCGTGCCGGGCCCACGATACGGCCGGCGGCAGGGCGCCGCACTCGACGCCGCCGCAGCCGGCCGCGCGGACGTCACCAGGCGATGGCGGCGGCCGAGCAGGCCGAGCAGGCCCAGGCCTCGCCGCCGCGCGAGCTCGTCACCGCGCTCGTGTACGTGTCGCTGCTGCTGGACAACATCCTGCTGTCGGCCGTCGGTGAGTGACGTCGGGCCGCCACCACGCGCGCCGCGTCCTCCGACGGTCCCCGGACGCGTCCGGTCCCGCTCCTGCACCGGTCCCGTTCCCGTCCGGTCCCGCTCCTGCACTCGGCCATGCTTGACTTGTAACCGGAGGACGTAGTGCTCTGGAAAATCCGTTGCCAGGGATGGCTGAACAGCGCAGGGTCGCTGTTCAGTTTGGCAAACCATTCTGAAGCTATAAAAGTGTGTCGTAATGTTACAGAACAGCTGGATGACTTGACAAACGGCGAAACGATCACAATGGAAACCTGACAAGTGTACTCAATTGCACATGTTCCGCTAATGTTTGGAAGCTCTAGACCATACTAAGCTCGTCATATTTATGGTTAACATCTTTCCGCACCGTCGATTTTTATGTTCCAACGCAGCGCAACAGTAGAAATATCAAATTCAGGTCGTAACTCGGCCAATCTGCGTGTTGCATTCAACCGTAAAGGCATGGAACATTAACAATTTGTCACTTCCATGAGGTCTTTGACTAAGAGAGCTAGAAACACCAAGTTCATAGGGTGGGTTAGCCTGTGTATGAACTCACGTGTGTCAAAATTTAAGTTTCCCAGATCATGATCTTTGGGCCAAATAAGGTCACAACAAGCTTCAACTTCAGATTGGGGTTAAAAATGACCCCAAACCTGCTCATGCAACTGCCTTGAAAGTTATTCAGATGCCTACAGCTATGCAAAGTTTGGCGTGTCCACGGCGCACCGTCTGAAAATTATTCTGTAAAAACATCGGGGCTAAAATTGATCCCCACCCAGGCGCATACTAAATTTGGTTCGGAAACAACCTGAAACACACCCAGTGCTGTGCTCACAGCAAATGCAGGCAGATGAAATGATAGCAATTCGCCGAAAATGCGTATATTTTTCGCAGCTAGTCTCCAATCCTCTATTCAAGACCCAATGCAGCTCATTTTTACTTAATCTATAACACCTTGATTATCAAAAACACTTCTCTACATACCGACTCTGTCCAGACTCCATTCAGATGGATCCACATGTCGGGTTCCTACGTCGACCCTGACAAGCATCCTTCTCCATTTTTTCTCTCCAACTGAAATCAAATTTCATAGAGCGGGGACTGCTTTGCCTTTTATAAAATGACACAGGCTGGACTTGATTCATTTTTGGGGGGAATGCGTACTGTAAATAGGCCCGTGTTTAATCAGTGTTGCGGTCATCATACAAATCTGCCACAGTGATGGCCATTTTGAATCATGATGCTTCCAGCCAGAAGTCGTTTGCGACACCTTTGTCACCCACCCGTGTCACGCATGTCAGCTGTGTATACTCCTCACCCTTATGCCAGAAGCGCCTCTATGACATGTTTTAGATCAAAACGTACTGTTCTTCTGACGCGGCCCGTCGTCACCTCTGGACCATGCCACGCAGTGCCCATCATCCCTGCCTACCTGTCTGAAACGGGCGGCGGCGGTGGCGGCGGTGGCGGCGGCGGCGGCGGCGGCGGCGCGGCGGACGGCGCGGACGCGGCGCACACGGCGCAAACGCTGCTCTTCACGCACATCTTCAGCAACCTGTCGCGCACCGCCGACGGCCGTGTGCTGCTTCACAGCCGCACCTCGGTCTTGCCCGCCTACTTCCCCCGGCGACAGGAGCCGCCGGTGGCGGGGGAGGCCGACCAGACCCCGCCCCAGCTGCCGGCCCCGGCCCCGACCCCGCCCCTGACCCCGGCCTTGACCCTGACCCTGCCGTCGGCGAGCGCGGCCGGCGCCGGCGAGCACGGCGCCGCCTCCCAACCGCCGCTCTCCGGTGAGGCGGACAACAGGATCGGCGTGCTGCTTTCCTCCAAGGCGTTCGTCCAGCTGTTGGCCAACGTGGTGGTGGGCACCGTCGTCGGCAGGCTGGGCTTCAGGCTACCGCTCGTGTGCGGCGTCGGCGTGCTGGCCCTCTCTGCCTTCCGTAAGTGGCGCTCTCCGCACTCTGCTGGCACGTTCTCTTATTTCTGGGCTGCCGCCGCCCTGCTCGTGCCTCGCGCCTGTTTGGCATTACCGCTCCTTACTTGAACCGATTTAGTCGCACGAATTATTTCTTCGATTGTCGGCGTGGTCGAGCGCCCCGTTAGGTATAATTTGCAATGCCGCGAAAATATCGCTTGCCAAGTGGTCGGAACTGGAATGTTTTTACCCCAGCCAGTTAGCTAAAAAGAATTATTGTATTTGCTTGCAATAACTTAACACTTCAGTTTTCCGCAACTTTTCACCCTTAACGTAATAGGTTTTCGATGTTTTTACAACTTATTTCACTAACTCCACTTTTCCATAAACGTCAAAGCTTTTTCCGTTAACTTCATAGCTTTTTCCCATAGCTTACTCAGTTATTCCCATAACTTTATGGTCACTATGGGACCTGCTGATGATGTATGGCTCTCCATGTACCAGAAATATGATACCTTAGATGGGAATGCAGCCCACTTGCCGCTGTGCCTCGAACCCGCTGCGTCTGCCGCTTGCTGTGCACCGATTGCGTCCTCCCTTCCCCGGAGTAGCCTCTTCCCTGTCCCGCAAGTGGTCCTGGAAGTAAGTGTCCCGTAAGAGCTGTCGTTGCGGCTGGACAGCTGCCGGTGGTCGTGACATTTATCCGCAGCTTCGATACCGTGCTGACGCTACTCTGCAGTAAGCTGACTGATGAAACGTGCTTGTACAGAGCTTCATTACGGCCGCGGGCCAAGCTAGATGCTGGGCAAAGTTTAATGCTTAGTGGCCCGGTCCGTCTCACTCCCGCCTGGACCTCATGTGTTTGCTGTTAAAGTCCAATATCTTTATTACCTCTTATGCCACATGCAGTTTGGAAAAAAGGAAAAGCATAATTCTAAGAAGTGGTGAGAAAATTCCAGGGTTTTGCGTGTAAGCGATCTGATCAAACTCGATTTTTGTGTATCATCACGCTGCGAGGCTGAACAACATGGCGAAATTGTAATCTGAACCAAATGTATACTCCTCGTGACATTAGCATGTTTAAACGTAAATTTACGAGCTGAAAGCAGGTGCTCAGAGCGGGCCGAAGCCGGGTCCGGATCTGCACGGCACGACGTTGCTGCGGAACGGGGCTAAACATTTGACACCTAGTAGAGGCCAGGCGATCGTGCTGACCAAGGTGCGGGTCAATGTGTGTGGCCGATCATGCGCGGGGCTGCGCGAACTGTGGACCCGCCCGCTTTGGGCGCTGTTGAAAACTGACGTCATATTGGCAACCCAAGTAAATCGATCTGCATCCGAAATGGTTGCCTGTGAGGCCGACTTGATTGACATCACACAAAAAATCCGCAAATTAGCAAGAATTCATCGCTTTCTTCGGCTGAAACTGCCAGACCCAACAAGTTTATTTTCAGGCAGTGCGGCTGATGCATCAGCACTCTAGAAGTGGATATCAGTGAGCCTCTTTTGCCTGCTTATATGCCTCCGGCGAAATACTGAATTTCCTATGCATCGACCCAGCTCATTTGTTGGAGTTGCCAAAGATGTCGGGCTCAATAATCTGAAGTTTGATACCATTAACATAGTGATTGTTGGTAGCCCTAACGTCTGTCATGACCTCGCTCGGCCCTCACCGCACGAGGCGCCTAACCGGTAATGTTACTGTTTCATCTGTCACGCAGCAGATAACTACAGGGCTTGTGACCCCTTCTTCTACACCGTATTTCCGGGTATGTCAATGAATGCCTAATTAGAAGGGATTACCAGAAAAGTTGTTGACTGACGAAAACACCGACGTATCAAGGACAAGGCAAAAATTTTTGGCAGAATCAATGCCCGAAGCAATACTAAAATTCGCAACGCATAACCACGCAATGTTTACACGTACATAATTGATATGAAAGAATGAGGAGTGCGGCGCGACTAAAAGATTCGCCAGCCAGCATGTCTCTGCAATCATTTTTTTGTTATTTCCATTGCCTAAAAATCAGCAAAAAAAAAAAAATATCGAACGCCGCCCATGCTACGCCCCACCGCCACAAGCCTGATGCAATCCAAAGCGATCAGAAACCTTCCCACTTAATGTGGCGCAGCTGGCCTTGGCCGCCGCCGTTTCGCCGGCGGCGCAGCGGCTGGCGGCTTCCAATTTTGGGCGGTGGCAGCGGCGCGTGTTGACCGTGGCCGCCGAGCTGTGCTGTTGACACGCCGTTGGAAAACAGCCCGCCGCGGCGCGACGCCCCGGGCGCTGTCCCGGCAGATTGCCGTCAGTCAGCCGAGAGGCTGAGGCGAAAACTGATACGCCTAGTTCCGTACCGTAGTGCGGAGAGACGGCTTAAGAGCGTGCAGCACACGTGTCGACAGCTTATTACGAAGATTATTTGCCAAATAAATGGTGTAGTTTTCTATTGAAAAGCGACTTTAGAGCTGTTGAAGACCTTTACAAACCTTTCAGAGGCAATGTGCCAAGTTTGTGTTAAAAAGCATTTTGTAGTGTGCTTTGAGTTAGGTTTTAACCATTGCCGTTGCTCAGCCCCACAACCATCTTTTTTGCGAAACTAGCCAGGAAACTGTGAGGAAACATCATATTTGTCCAACTTCAATGTTGCATTGTTGAGATAGCGAAGAACTATGTTAGCATATGTGCCCAAAGAAGAGGTCAGAGTGATCTACTTTGGTGTTTTCTATCCTTCAGAAATTTGTTTGAACCCATTTGAGGGGGGGGGGGGGCAGCACGCGCACACGCATAAGCACGGCGCTATCGATTGCAATTTGAATTTTTTGATTCGGGCAGCCGGGACTGAGCGTGAAATCCGCCCCTGGCAGTCAATGGTGTGCCACTGAAGGCCCGGTCAATGACGGGCTAAAGGCAATTTTGTTGGCTTGTGTCATGTCCTCCCAAAAACCATCTAAATAGCTTGTAGCATTGCCAACACTTTGAAGCAAAATTAATGCTTTCTGACTTATCCTCTTCAAGTTACACAGGATAATTCAGAACTTAAGTTTTGAGAAAGATGGTTATGGCTAGCTTTGACATTTGAGACCTTTTTGCAAATATTCCGTAAACAGAAACTATAGATACTTGCATCAACATTGTGCTTGAGTTTGCCCTCCATTCATGGGCTTTACTGTGGCCTGTTTGGCTCTCTCCTAAACTCGCTGTCATGAACTCCTTTTTATGTTCAATGACAAACTTTTAAGGCGGAGAGGAGGCGTGGAGATGGGATCTCCTCTTGAAACCACTTTCGTCGATACCTTCATGCGTTTCCACAAAAAGAACTGGCTATCCAACCGTCCCCTGACTTTCAACCAGTATTCCATCGACGGTATATTGACGATTCCTTTCTGTTGTTTCGGTACAGGTTCCATATTGATAAATTTCTCAGTTTTCTTAAAGGGAACTGTTTCAGATTTAGAGAGATTAAAGCAGCCATCGGAAGTCGCGCTCAGCAATGCCAGAAATGATCGTCTGAACAATTGTTTTTCATTGTCGTGATCGCCGCATGGCTTGTGGAATGGCAAGGTTTGAATGACGTTATCATGACTTTATGAATGTCAAGATGCCTTCGAAATACCGCCCCGAAAATATTCTCCCCATTTTCGCGGGCGTGTAGCTCAAAAGCTAGATGGGCTTAGATACTAGGAGAGCACGATTGTGAACAGCACCATAAGGTCTCCAAGATGGCTAGTTCAGTTAAAAATCCCATATAAATGTGGAACACTCCCTTTTAAGAAGAAATTATGAGATGACGTTTACGAAGGAATAGGAGGATAAAATTAGCTTCTTGGCTTTCCTTGATGTGCGAGTTCGAAAGCTTCAGGGCAAAATTAAAACCGCTGTCTAAAGAAAGCCTGCGTTCACTAGTCTTGGATGGATATTTTCATCATTCAGTTCTGACGCTTTCAAGCCATGTGACATGAAAACTTTTTTACCAAATTTTCCGCTCAATTCCAACTATAACCTCTTCTGTTCCAGGCTTCATCAGCTCATATTATTCTGTCCAGGAAATAGCTTCCAGCTTCCAATTATGAATACTTTAATAAAGAACTTCTCGGGTGCAAAGTATTTAAAAGCACCCGCTGTTCACTAAGCCCTAGGGTTAACTAAATGTGTAGGATCTCCCTATTTTGGATTTTGGAAATCAGTCGACACAAATGAAAAACGAGCTTACAAACCACGGTTACTGGACCTACTGGGCGCAAATTTCCTTGTTATTATAATCTTAGGTGCAAATTTCTAAATTGCTATCAAAATTTAGTCAGGAGCAAATTACCAGGTGCCGAAAATTTTGTTCAGAGGTGACGCACCGTAAGGCTGCAATGCGCGCACCTCGCGTCTGTTGTGAAAAAGGACGACGAAACTCTCAGCCGGGGGCCAGAATCGAACCCAGCGTACGACGCGGCACCGTAAGCGGACGGTCCCCCAACTGCATCACGCCGTTCCCCCGCAAACTGAGGCGAGGGGCAACCGCCGGACATGTGAGCTCCTCCCGGCAAGCTCCAAGGCATTCCGCGTGTCTGTTTCATTAATGGGGCAGCCCCGGGCGCTCTGTGTTCGGGGCGGGCAGTGTTTCGGGACAGTGTTTCAGCAGGCGGTGTCGGACACTGACGGGTGCGGCGCATCACATGCCTCACCCTTGACGCTGCAGTGTTCGCCGTGGCATCCGGCGCCTCATCTCTACTGGTGGCCAGGGCAGTACACGGCGTGGGGTCGTCCTGCATAGCCATAGCAGGTAATGCACTAAGAGCCCATTACGCAACCGTACCTACTTGTACGTATTGTCCCTTGTGTCTCGTACACAGCCGAAGCTATGACAAATGCAATCTGGGTGATCCTTCATGTAGCCCTTTCAGTCCATCAGTCATGTTAAGAATATTTCTGCATAACCACCATGAATATTACGCCAGCGAATCATCTCACATAGCCGTGGTAGGTCGTGTCCTGGGGTCCTGAGGTCAGCTTGCAGGGCAATGACAGGCAATGCCTAAAAATTGTTTGAAATCTACATACGGTATCTTTGATGGCTTGATGTCCCGAAAAAAGAAAACGAGTCTTCCTGCACGTTGAGTTATAGCACGTACATTGGTGCGGCTCGGCTACGGTAATGTGGTTAAAGATCACAAACATGCATGCCACTCATCCCCGCTCGCTGTGGGTTTGTGACTGTTGATATGCTTAGTCAGAATCCACCATGCTGCCACGTCTGCTATGAAAATTATAATGGTTTCTGTCAAAAGACCTTACAGATGGCGGGAAGGAAAGTTCGGCTCAAGATCCAGAGCTCACCGATATCGTCTGGCGACTTTCAAAACAGACTGATCTTTTAGCATTGTTAAGAATTCATCAGCTAGTGTCTTCTCGTGATTTATTTCGAGTGTACTTGCGAGGGAGGTGTTGGGTTCAGACTCCGAACTCGGGGTTAAGACTCTGAACCCAACACCACCTGCACAGTGGGCGTTCTGGGCTTCAGAACACTTGCTTAGTACGACTTGCTGAGCCCATCCTAAAGCTTCCACTCAGATTGTGACATTCTAGTTCACCAGATAGCTTTGACCCTGCCTTTTCGACGGACAGGACCGCGCGGGGTTGTGGGTGCCACACAATGCTGCGGCCCCGGGGCAGGGTGACCCTCCTCTGGCCAGGCTTCAGCTGAGCTTTCCATGTCACGCAGGCCAAACGATGCCCGCGTCCAGGAGCTGGTTTCCATCGCCGTTTGACCACGAGGTCAGAATCTGATGCGTCTATCACGGAGGCCGCAAACTACCTTATGTCTATTTGTTTATTTGTTTATTTTTCTTTTATCGCCAATAGCGCTGCACTCCAACAGGCGATGCCATTTAAATAAAATACAGTAAATGCACAACACACAGTAGGATGAGCATTATTCAGGGAAAACATCTCAGAGCTAAGTAAAGCTGCTACAGAGTTTAAGCATACCGAAGTCTAAAATGCCAAAACTGTGATTAAAAACACCTGTGCTAGTGTTGCTCGCTAAGAAAGCGCTTCTAGTGCTTGGCGGTCTGAAAAAACGGACCGCTCGGTACTCTTTGCAAACGAGCGCGAGGTGCAGCGAGCAGAGTTTGAGTGCGGGTCGACTGAAGCAGCACAAGCAAGGGGAAGCAGCTTAGCAACAGTTGAGAGCCCAGTTTACCTTAGAAGATGTTCCTCAGAAAGAGTAACCCGTGCAGCAATCTTCGTGCTGCTGGGATGGGATTTTGAAATGAAGCGGAAAGCTGTCATAAAAAGAAGCTGTTTTCCCGGAGAATGTGTGAGTAAGTAACCAAATAAGAAACTTGTGCTGCACTCAACCAACCCACACTGTGTGGGGATTGGTCGCCCACGCCCAAATCACGCTGCAATATTCTGAAACTGATCGCACGTTTGTAAAAATACGCAGTCATCACAGCGCTTCAGATGAATTCTAATCAACTGGTACCGGCTTGGAAGGACAGAATAAAGAGGCCAAGTGCTCGATTGCCACGACTGACTACGTCAAATATGTGCAGCGAAGATTAGTTTGGTATCCAGCGTTGCGTGAAGGTCCCTTAATTTTAAACGCATGTTCAAGCTCAGTTCTATTCATATGATACATGTTCTGGATGGGAGCACGCCTGAGGGTCATCGTGAAAGTTTTACATTGTTTAGGGTTAAGGGTCGGCCCTCACCTGACTGACCACGCTACCAGATAATCGGGATCATTCTGCAGCAGCAGTCCGTCAGCCGGGACGTAATTTTGCGGACTTTTTCACGTCATCGGCATACAAAAGACAGTCAGAATAACAGTAAAAAAGAGGGAGTCATGAGTGATCCTTCCGGGACGCCGGAGGCCAACGGTTTCCAATCAGAAGTTTTCTTTTTCGTTGACGATCACGCTCTGACGTCTGTAGGACAGATACAAGATCAGCCTTCGCAGTGCAGATTCCCTTAAGTGGCATCAATGCTTCGACCTGTGGTTCAGAAGCCCGTCATTGGCGCTCTGAAAAAGCAGCCGAATAATCAGTGTAAATGGCATCCGTCTGGTATCTCCTCGACATGGCCTCCCACGCCAATTTCAGGTGAACACAAAAGTTAGCGCCGTACGAACGCTTAGGAATAAAACCATGCTGATGATGATGGCATAACACCGGGGAGACTTGGCGGAACAGCTTGTCATGTGGAATTCGTTCCAGTATCTTTCCGAAGAGAGGAAGCAGATATTATATATATATATATATATATATATATATATATATATTCTTCTGTAATTTGCCGGCTCCTCCCTATCTCCTTTCTTAAAACTTGATATGACGTTTGCCTGCTTCCGCCTAGCCGGGAAGACATCTGAACTTACCAAGAGGTCACAAATCTTGGTGAGCAGAGCGACTAACTCGTCAGCGCACTTAGTGAGTTTGCGGGCGCTGATATCGTTAGTCCGCAGGCCTTGTTGGGACCGACCGCAGAAATTGCGAATCGCACGGCTGCCTCAGAAACTCAGTTGGCTCAGTGACTCGACTGGGCAACACGGCGCAGCTGGAGGGAGATGCACACGGATATAAGCAAATTTTAGAGCAAAGGCGTCATTCAACGCGGCAGCGCGAGCCATGTTATCCGACACGAGAGTCTGCTTAGAGTTATACGAGACTGGTAATATGCATGACTTCTTCGGGACACATATTTAAACAACCAGTACAGCTTAGGGTTGGTATTGAAATCTTCGGTGACTCTATAGAAATTTTGAGCGTACTTTGGACACGGACTTAAAAGCGTGTCTCCTGTCCGCAAACTCAGCCGCGGTCACCGCGCCGGAGTTTCTCCGCAGACATCGGAAAGCTGCCTCCTTCAGCCAGGGAGCAGCTCGCACCGCGCCGCCTAACGAGGGGTCAGTCGGCGCCGGAGGATCACGATGGGGACGTGGTTGGCGATGCCCATCTCAAGCTGTGTGTAAGAGGTGTCCACCGTTTGGCCCAGCCCCCACTGGATCCGGGAGAGACTTAGGCGCATACCGCCGAAGTCAGCCCTCTTGTAGTTGCACGCAGCGTGCCGATGTACCACAGGCGGACTGCTTACCGGCACATTGAGAACGAAAATGAGTGAGACGCTCTCCGCAGGTCGAGAACGACGCCGCCGGCCGCCGGTGTCCAGTGTATTTCAGGCAGGTTGAAATCTCCGATGGCGACGGCTCTGAAATTCATTTGCGATTGTCAATTGCGATTGCGGACGAGATCATGTGAATAGTAAGTACGCAATGCCTGTGCTTACTAAGGATGTCTTAGGCATTGAAGATGGGATTGTCAGACCATAGCCTTCAGAGCTTAAAGGAGCACGTGTAGCAAACACGAGCTGTCAATGAGCGCTGAAAAAGGGTCATTCATGGATCCAGTCATAAGCAGCTTGCTGTACTTGGCATTGGGAGCAGGGTCCTTTTATACGGCTGATTATTGAAAGTAGGTTTCTGTTACATGAATTCATACAGGCTACCTGCTGTCTTATGACACAGTGATGCACAAGATGTGTGCAGCTGTCTTATCCAAATGATGTCAATTTTAGATAATAATTATTGCGCAATGCTAGGCTATTTTGTTAGCATTTATTGCACATCATAATGTTTTCAACCAGGGTAGGCGATGATACTACCCATATCTCACCTTGAAAGTGCCTGCAATGCAACTTGCATACACATAGAATGCATAGTATTCATAACAAGTAACAGCCACTCAAATTTCTCAACTCGAATCTACTTTGACGTTCTTGCAAAGGAAGCTCCTTGACCAGGCGGTTTTGCCTTATCTTCCGGTCTTGGCATGCCCATCCAAGGCTTCTTGCCTGAAAGGCTGGAACCCTCACTATTACTTGCTCACACTCAAGTTTTATGCTCTGCTATGCCTTCTGCGGCTGTTGCATGCTGTTTAGGCTTCCTTTTTCAGCAATTTGTCTTTCAATAAGAAGCAATCCTAAGTTCAGTTTTATAATCTACGGCGCAAATTCTTGCGTTAGTTGCATTACCAAATTCATCATGGACTTATCAAAATTAAGCTTTGTCGTACATTTGTTCTTGGCTTTGAGAAACTCATGCAATATTTTTTGGCGTATATTTGGGTCACAGATTGTACATTATCTGTGCATTTTTGGAGTGTCGTACATTGTAATTGTATATTTTTGCTTTGAGAAACTGGATTATACGATTATACGCCAAAAATGTACAGTTCACGCCAAAAACCTATGAATTGCACACATCACACAGAACCAAAGTGGGCCATGCCAGAAGTTCGGCCGCTTTGCTCTATGAAGAATATCAAAACTTTCTGATCAGAGGAAATGTCTTGCTTGTTGCAGCTGACATGACGACTTGTCACTGATGATAATGATTGATGTTTGATAACCTGATTTCCGGGCTAATTAGTTTAACGTGTTGGCGCAACGTGTAGAATGTCTGTACTAGCCTGTGATACAAACTAATGGCTCCTTCTTTTTACGAAGCTTAAACGATATGAAAATCCCGTGTCATGTTTGCGATGCTAGTTTGTCGAAAAAAATTTCCAAAAATAACTTTGACAGCCTCGTCACGTTTTAAATTGAAGGTAACTTTCGTTTCTGGGATAAGTGATGTGAGATATGTGATATAGTTTCGACGCAATCAACAGGTCAATCAAAAGTTACGCGTCAGCAGCGGCCATTCGCTTGTTGGAGGCAGTGGCGCTGCATGGTGGTCAAATGACGCAAACGGATACTTGCACGAATGATAACGAATTTCGT